CGTCAAGCTTCATTGCAACGTTGATGTGCCCCAAACGTTACACACAAAAGTATTTTTACATACATGTTACATTCACCATCAAATTGTTTTACTTTAACATGTCTTCAGTAGGTAACTTTGCTTTATTTCCCTCTTTTTAAAAGCGCAAATATGACCTCTACGCTATAGTTAACCACATTGGTAGCCTCACAGGAGGTCACTATACTGCGGACATCAGATCTTTTGAAACTGGGGCGTGGTATCACTTCAGTGACGACACTGTTGAGATGGTGAGGAGGCTCGTTTTTCTCACACAGTTAAACATAAGCACTGTAGTGTTTAATGCTACTGTAAAATGTTTCTGTCCTACAGGTCAAATGGCCTTTATTCAGGTCTGGAAACACCTATGTGAGGTAAATATGTCTCTCATTTAACCAGAAGTTAGTATCATTTCCTGAATATCGTGATGTCTCTCAGCAAGGCTCACTTGCACTTTCTTTGTGTTCAACGTGCAACCTTTGCACACACACAGTAACGGCCTCAGGATTATGTGTGATAATTTGATGACCCAGCCTTTTTCCATATAGAGTCATCATCAGGTCACAGTTTTAATTTGTGGAATATGTTGTTTTATGTGCAGATATCTGGACATAAAACTGATGACGTATCAGCCTCAGCTGTACTTTGTGTTTTGTGCTACCTGTAAGATGGTGAACATAACAAACATCGTTGCTGTTTTGCATCAGCTTGTTAAAACTGCCATAGCATGTAGTTCAAAACACTGCTGACGCTGCCAGTCAGAGTTTGGACACACTTTCCTGTTCCATCCAATATGAACGCGTGTCCAGACCTTGAACTGATAGTGTGTGTACCTTTGGCACTTTTTACATGTCCAGATACAAAGTCATACATGTCTTAAAAGAGAAACTCTCTGAAATTGTGTGCTCTTATCCTCCATTTTCTTCATGGGTTGAGATTGTATAGATACGAAACATACACAGTTCTCAAAGAGAGAACGACACATACAAACTGGTTTGTTTGAAGCATTCTGAGCCTTTTACATATAATCAACCCTGTAACTGCTTCAGTGCAGCTGTGCAGTCTTTAGTGATGAGGTTGGTGTTTATGTGCATTGCTTAAGAAAACTTAGTGTTTTAACTGTTGTAACATTTGTCCTCTCACACCAGGTCCCATACAGCTTATCTTCTTATGTACAGGAAGGGTAAGTTCACTTCTTAGTTAATATTTTTTGTTATAGCACTCTGGATTTTAACATCAGTCCAATACTAAACCAGTGTCTCTGTAGTTTACCAAGCCAGGTGTGTACACTTCTCAGAATCAGCTTAATGTGTGTTGGGCGCACGAGCAATTTGACTCTGGTACAGTGGCTCTCAATGTGTATGTATAGTGCTCTTCACTAAGGTAAAGAGTAGACAAGAAAAGACTGAGAGAACAAAAAAGAGAGTGTGCAGAGAAGATGGAAGGAGTATTTTGAGGAACTGATGAATGAGGGAAGAAGGGGGGAAGAGGTGAATATTGTAGAGCAGGAAGTAGCAAAGATTAGAAAGGATGAGGTGAGGAAGGCTCTGAGGAGAATGAAGAGTGGAAAGGCTGTTGGTCCAGATGACATACCTGTAGAGGTGTGGAAGTGTCTAGGAGAGACAGCAGTGGAGTTTCTATCTAGTTTGTTCAACAGGATTTTAGAGAGTGAGAAGATGCCTGAGGAATGGAGGAGAAGTGTACGAGTGCCGATCTTTAAGAACAAGGGTGATGTGCAGAGTTGTAGCAACTACAGAGGTATAAAGTTGATGAGCCACACAATGAAGCTATGGGAAAGAGCAGTGGAAGCTAGGCTAAGAAAGGAAGTGGATATCTGTGAGCAGCAGTATGGCTTCATGCCCAGAAAGAGCACTACTGATGCAATTTTTGCACTGAGAATGTTAATGGAGAAGTATAGAAATGGTCGGAAGGAGCTGCATTGCGTCTTTGTGGATTTAGAGAAAGTGTACGACAGAGTGCC